TGTGTGTGTGCGTGCGTGCGTGCGTGCGTGCGTGTGTGTGTGTGTGTGTGTGTGTGTGTGTGTGTGTCGCACACACAAACACGCGCGCACGCACGCACGCACACTCATACACACACACTCAAACACACTCACACACACACACGGGCGCGTGCACGCGCGCACGCACACCTATTATTCACACACTTATGTATGCGTAGTAAAGGATTTACTTTCCGACACCCACCATCCCTCCAAAAAGATGAAAATAGTTCGTATATATTACGCTCGTATTATACTCAATGCAAAGACAGCGTGGGGAAGGGGGGGGGGCACACCTAGCTACAACTGACCATACAAATAGACCAACAATTAAATAAATATGATAAGAGTCTGTGGCTTTAACAGCTTCAATGCTGAAGTATTTTAGTAAGCTTTTCGAACTGCAGATAAAAGACTTGAGTAGTAATGATTCAGAACAGATTAGCCTTGAAAGGCACTGTCGAAGCAGCTTGCATTAAAAAGATATGAGTTGTGCCAATGGGGGTACCGGTACCAAATGTCTACATGTAATACAACATAGAAGTATAGATCTACATTCTATACGTATCCATCTCAATGTAAGAAAAAAAGGCTGTGGAAAAGAGTTCTCAACGTTTACCTTGTCCATTTCGCGGGAACTCCAGTGACTGGCCCACGAGAGCTGAGGATAGTAATGAACAACGAAAATGCTACGTTTAAAAAACCTGTATTCCACATATTGAGATTTAGAAAAAACATATCTTCAGTTTGGTAAAACATTGATCTCGTTGACATGAGTTTTATCTTATTTATATCCGATAACAAAAGCCAACGAAATGTATTACAAACTGACATACTTCCTTCAGGAGAAAAGACAACTAATAATGTACTAATATTCCGTTCGTTCTGTTTTTAATGGAGAAATTGCAATTTTATTGCTTAAGAATTTCGTGAAATGCGCAACGAAGTAGTAAGTTTTAGCATTAAAGAATATCCATTGTTCCAATTCAAAGCCTTGCCTTCCAATTTGTCAGCTATAATAACGATGGCGTATAAGATGAACAGCTCCAATTGCTACATTTTTTACTGGTTTAAGCTAACTTGATACAGTTTAAACATTTTAGACATCTCTAAAACAAAAACAAACAAAAAACAACAACGTTAGTTCAATATGGATAATTCTATCCCACAATGCGAATGACATAAAGCTTTGAAATTTTTTTCAGGGCATTCTTAGAGTAGTGTTGTTTGGTGAGTTTTCATACTTCTACCTGATTGACTCAGTGCTATCTCACACTTAAAAATGAAGCAAAAGAGATGAACACATAAAATGTGGAATTCAAAGGTAGAACAACTTCCTTTTAAACCCCTCAATGGGGGACTCTCGTGGCCTAGAGGACAAGATGTTCGCCTCTCTTTCAATAGGTTTCGAATCCGGATAGCGACGGAAAATATTCTTCTCTAAAAGTGTCTTCTTTCACCTCCTTTCCTGCTCTCTAACAATGTCCTACTTTCGTCTCCTCTTTCTGCCCCCACCCCCTGACCTCCTTTGCCCCCTCATCGGGGCTCCTGACTCTTTCTGCAGCCTTTCAACTTTTATTCCTTGGCTCCTTACTACTGTTTTTCAGCCATACCCCTGATCTTATTGTAGGAACGATCTACACCTAACCTTCTCGGACAAGGGCGAAAAATCTCTTAGGTCCCATGTGCAAGTTGCGCACGTTAAAGATCCCCTGATGGTCTAAAATTGATTAGAGTAGGCTTCGGTCGCCCCCCCCCCCCGGGCAAAATTTTAAATGTCCTACCAAATGGAAATGTTTAAAATGTGTCCTGCGCCTCGTATGACTTTATGTAATTGGGAGCGACGTAAACCCCCCCCCCAAAAAAAAAAACCCCAATCAAACTGATGTAACCAGTAAATGAAATATTTTCTAATATTAGTTTAGCTGTCTCTAACTCGCAGGCTAATACAAATGATTTTCAGAGCTGAGTACATCCCTTTTCGCTTTTCAGTGTCTGAATCTATTGGTATTAGCCTTATAGTACAGTCAAATTCTTGGTTTAGGCTTTATGCATTATAATTTTTTGGTGGGGCAGTAAGCATAAGGGATTGTTAGGGGGGGTGTATTTTGTTATTCATGTATCTTGGCTTTCAAAACTACTAATACTTAACACTACAGGCCTTGTGCAAATGTTGCACGTATAAGCAATGATTTTGAACCCTTCTTTGTCGGCTCTCAAAAACTTCTTCTTCGGCCTTATGAGAAAGAATTAAGCTGTTGACTACTGTTTCCCTTAGATTGAGAGTTTTCGAAACCTAACAAGGATTTCACGTATTGATATGCACGAATCGACCCCGTAATATTTCAATTGAATTTGTTAGGCCAAATGAAAGAGGGCATGTTTAGGAAATAAGCGTCCCGTCCCAATTCCCACTCCAACCGCTTTTCTCTTTCTATGCCAATCAACCATCGGTCGGTAGATTAGTTTTCCTAACATTCATCTTTCTAAATTATGTTGGTGGAGAAAATCAAATAACCTCACCCACAAGGACACCCACAACAAACACACATGCAAAATGCAAGTAATTCACACACTCAAATATACGTACCGACGTCGTTGCACAAGGTGTTGATGGTATAGTTGAGGCTGTCCTCTGACCTTTTAAACCAGGTGATGACATCAGCAAATCTCTCTTCCTCGTTCCAGGACTTTAAGATGTCTGAGATGCGGTTGGCAATGGAATCCAATTGAATACACACGTCAAAGAGATCCAGGCTTACCAATGAACTGTACTGTAAGTTTGAAGAAGAAGAACGGGCATTACAGCTTAAGGGTTCTGGGTATACAGAAGAGATAACTGGATGCAGTTGAATGCATTGAGTGTTGATTGAGGTTAAGCGCTATACCACAGACGCCAGTTGCTCTCATTTAATTAAGGAAATACCAGAGGAGTTGGCTTACATCAGATGGGTTAGTTTCTATTTGATGGCACTTGGTCTGCCTGTGAGATAAGCAGGGGGTTGGCAGAGGGGTGACTGTTTACATGAATGGTTTTTAACATGTTAAATCCTCATCAACGTAATGGAGACCAAATAGGAGGCAGCCTGCTTCTAACCAGTAGGGCTGGGATTAAACGGGTAATTTGATACCCGGGTTATGAGAAAAATACCCGAGTACCCGACAGGTACCGGACTTTTCAATTATTTTGTTTTAATTATTTTTTTTTTAGGAATGGGGCGATTTTTCTTCCTTTTTGTTGTTGTTTTGTTCTGTTTTGATTTGTTTGTTTTTTACTTTAATATTATTTTCAAAATTAACACAAATTGGACACAACAAAGTAAGCTTATACAAAAATGGGGATTTCAAGACAAAGGGTCTATCAGAACTCTCAATGAAGTGAACGAGTTGACGACATAAACAAAAGGCAAAAAAGGAAAGGCCCTAGAAAACGTTGAATCCTTCTGTTATCTTGGGAGCATAATTGACAGAGAGGGAGGAACAGGTGCTGAAATAAAGTCTCGCATTGGAAAAGCACAGGCTGCTTTCATCTCTTTGGATAAGATTTGGAAGACCAGAGAGATCTCACTTCGAACAAAGCTGAGGATTTTCAATTCAAACGTGAAGTCGGTCCTGTTGTATGGATGTGAGGCATGGAACGCATCGCAGACTTGTATAAAGAGGATCCAGGTTTTCTTGAACAGGTGTCTAAAAAAGTTACTGAGGATCAGATGGACAGACAGGGTCACCAATGTGGAAGTGTTAAGGAAAACAAGACAGATCCCAGTCAGAGATGAGGTAGGAAGAAGGCGGTGGCGATGGATTGGACATACTCTCAGGAAGTCAGGCAGCTGCATAACAAAGAAAGTTTTGGATTGGAACCCACAGGGCAAGAGATCAAGGGGAAGACCTCGTGGAACTTGGAGAAGAATCACATAAATCGATGTACAGAAATGTGGGAAGACATGGAATAACATCAAGAGGCTAGCCCAGGATAGAGAAAAGTGGGGGTTGTTTGTCCGTGGCCTATACCCTGGTGCAGGATGAGAAAGGCAATGATGATGATGATGTTGAGTTCTGGAAAGGCTTTTCCATATGGACTCCACCAGGTCAGCGGACTGTCCTCTTCCCTTCTGGCCACGGCATCTCAAAGTACCGATTCAGTTGGACTGTGATCACTGTGACACTTGTTTGTGGCTGACACCTTTGCCTATGCCCCTCTGCTAGAACACCGAAGGCTTGCACAATTACTTTTTTTGCAGGATGTTCTGTTTCAGCAGCTAAAAACCGATGATGAGCCTGATGTTTGATCGGGTCTGTCTCCTTGTTTGTAACTAATCACTGAAAGAAGGCGCTTTCACTGAAGGTCGAGGATAGCTGATACTTCCACAAAATACGTGTCCTCGAGTTGTGTGAAGCGCTTGCGAAGCTCACTCAGTAAAAGAAGTGCGAGTGGCCAATATGGATCGAGTATTGTATTGACTAAGAGAGGTCAGTATCGATAAGTACTCAGTATTTATTAAGATTCGAACTAAGGGACGTAATCTAAGTGTATTTGCATAGAATTTAACGAAGGGGAGTAGAAAACCCGGGTACCCGACAACAATACCCGGGTAGCCGGTTTCGAGCTGTACCCGGGTACTTGCCCAGCCCTACTAACCAGTCCGTCGGAGCCACCTAGGGCTGCGTTGGACACAAAAGAACAGCAGGAAGACATAGCAACATAATAACTAATATCTTCTCAAAACGGACATCGAACCCACATCATTCACGTGCAAGGACGACAGCTCCCTTAATTAGCTCACCTGATCAAAGACTCCTGAGATGTAACTGGGCAGGGTAAGCAGTTTGATCAAAGCGCTGCTGTCCAGATTCCGCCAAGAAGGTGTGATGGTCAGCATGTCACTGACAAGCCCAGCATACAAACTCACGTTTTGCCTCAGCAGGGTCACCATCGATCCGAAGCAGTTGTAGTTGGTGTTCAAGCAAGCCTTCACGCTGAATATGTTTATGTAAAAAAAATTGTTAAGACTTTAGAAATATGCCCGCATTTTAAAAGGAATTCGTTTATTTCTTCAATGCTCACCCCTACCTCTAAATGCTTTACATCACTTAATCATGAAATCTGTAATCTGTAATACAACCGACAAAAAAGAAACGTTGAAGCTAATATAATTACTCACATTCACCTTCACGCTTATATATTTACACACGGATACTGTTATTAAACGCGCACGCGCGCACGCACACACACACACACACACACACACACACACACACACACGCACACACACATACACACATACACACTCCCCACAACACTTGTGTAACATAGACTTTAGCACTTTAGAGCGCACGCAGTTACTAAACCGTGCTTGCTCATCAAAAATTGATAGGCTCAATTATCGCTCATTGCGGTTTTTACGTTGGAAGATTGTATCCCCCTCAGCTGATGTTGGAAAGCCAGCCTCCTAAACAACTAAACTGTTTCAATGGGGGGGGGGGGTAAAAATGCTTACATTTTATCAATTAATTATAATCATTGATGTGCAGGTCGATAAAAAGTTTAATAAACACGGTGAGTTGTGAGAGTTACTTACATAACATAAACCTCAGTTTTAACCCCATCTCGAAGTACGTCAAATAAATACTGTAATTATTGTTCTCCTAGCTTGAGTTGATGATTCTTGGGAAGACTTACGTCGTGACATCTGAGTTGTGTACGAAGGCCAAAAGGCATTTGCGTGCTGCATCTGGGTCGCACTCATAAGGTATTTCCGAGCATGGACGAAGGCTCTTCAGCTTTACAGATCTCAGACGCTGGGAGGATTCCGCTCTGCAAACCCTTAGGGGTTCTAACGTATCAGATACGTCTATGTTGGTACCACAGCCGACCGTTTTGTTAAAGATACACGGAGCACCAGCTTCCAATACTCTGTAAAAGAAAGATGTAAAACGATGGCATTGATTTCAGATGATTTGTTAAAGGTTTTGGAATGGGATTGAGCATGAAACTCCCATTGGCCGTTTTTAGAGCAGACTGAATTTTCAATGTTATTGTGAAGCTATATGGTAAATTATTTTCTTCTTCTCAAAGTTACTTTCCACCTTCTGAAATGAAACAAGATATCAAGAATTACATGTAATTGGTAACTTTGAGCGCAACTTTTACAAAAATGAGCTCTAACTTAGAATAAAACGTTTAACAATCATTCACAGTAAAACTTTGTGAAAATGTTTTTTTTTAAGCAAAGGTAGCACCAAATTAGACACAAATGGGATAAATGTATTTAAAAAGTTGCTTGGTCTGTATTATCACCGTTTTATTACTTATTATTGTTATCATTACTATACTGGCGTGCAGAAGAAAGGTACCACTTTTGATTGGCTAATAAAAATTTAGTCTTTGGAGACTTGACGCTTTTTCTTTCACTTCTTAAAAGCTGTCAATGATATAGAAATAATATTTTGGTGCTTCAATTTTTATTTACAGCACCAACATAAAAAAACAGGAAATTGGCATTTTCCCCAACTACATGACGCATTGTTTCTATTCTATGCTTTTTAATGAAGTTTAGGTCTTTGTTTATCAAAAACTGCACGAACGTTTAATCATTGTCACCCTAGTAAGATAATAGATAAATAGATAGCATTTGTATAGCGCAAATCCCCGCTCAACAGCAAGCTCTATGCGCTTCACAATCTATACCATTACCCCTGCAGACCAGAAAGCATTCTGAAACAAAGTCAACTTCCTGGGAAGCATACAGTGCAAGCAGCCATTTATAGGCGCTAAAACACTAACATACTGACAAGATCTTTCGCTGTCTATGGCCGGGTACCCATTTCCACCTGGGTGAAGTGAGGAAAATTCGTGTAAAGCGCCTTTCCCAAGGACACAATGTCGGGGCCGGCAGCTCGAACCCCCGACCCTGCAATCTCACGATTACGAGTCCGGTAGCCTTACCACTAGATGGTAGGTTTACTTCCACATCAGAGGAATGGAGCCATCAGCATGCTGCGATCTTTTCTGTTGTTGCCAGGACATCCAACGTTAACAGAAAAATTGACGTGGTCTGGAAAAAATGCTAATTTTCTATATATTGATGTTGGTGCTGTTAACACTAATTGGAGCACCAACATGCTATTTTCATAGCATGGCCTGCTTTTAAGACTACTTATTATTAGTTACGTGAAAGGAAAAGCGTAAAGACACCAAATACTAGATTTATATTGTACAAAATCAAAAAGCAGTACCTTTTTCATCGCCAGTATATTATTATAATCATACTACTATTAAATGTTGTTATTATTGCTTGTCATATCATTGTTATTACATCAATAGAATACTTGTACTATTGGTATCCTTCTTTTTTTTCTTCTTTTTTCTATAAGTAGTATCGGTGACGTTATTGGTATTATGATATCAATATCGTTATGATTACCACTTGTATATCTTTTATCTATACATGTATTATGGTCATTGTTGATTATTATTCATGTGAGTATTATCATTGCTGTTATATTGTTGTTGTGGTCGTTGTTGCTGTAATTGCAGTTGTTCTATTATTGTTGTTGTTGTTGTTGTCGTTGTTGTTGTTGTTGTTGTTGCTCTTTGTGTGTTGGGTTTTTGTTTGCTTGTATGTTTATTTGTTTTTATTGCTATCTTGAGCATGAGAACAAAATCAAGAGAACTTTACCGGCACGGCAAGGTCTTCGGGTCTTTGCCAAAACAATCTGGGACCTGCGTCTCCTGGCATGTGGATGAAGCCGGAATCACCACGTCCTTCTGGCCCATGAGTGTGCAACGCGCCCATTTGACTAGCTGAGCGTCCGCTCTACAGGCCTGGGAGATGAAGTCTACGGTGAAAGACACTCTGCTTCGGAAACCGGCCAGCTGATCATAGCTACAGTTGCTTGTGAACCTTACGGCATACGCCACTGCAGCTCTCGCTTCTCTGCAAATTTTATACAGGTCATGAAAGGGGCATTTACAGACTTATAGCATTGCTCAAAACTCATTAATGTATTTTGTAACTCATTTCTTCGAACAGGTTCACTCGTTCACTCGTTCACACATTAGCTTTCATTCATTCACTCAGTGACTTACATGTTCACCCTCCACGCTCACCCATCCCTCTAAAAATTATAGCAAGCTTCTTTTTTGGGTCAGGATCATATTCTGCAAAAAATGAGGGGCTGCACGACATGCCCGGGGCTTTAGAAAATCCCAATCATTCTTTCAAACAATGCTCAAAGTCACAAAGATGCATGGTCTTGTTTCCTTCAACGGCACATTGTATATCTTTTATTCGCATCATAGGCTAGAACAGTAAAAACAGAAGTACTATATTGAAAGCATCTGAGATGGTCTGTCGTGTATTTACATAGCAAAAAAAAGTAGCAAGAGAAGCTATCATCATCATGAATTTTCTGCAAAAGCGGAGAAGTCTTCGGTTAAATCTCTTTCAGGATTTATCGGGCACACGTGTCCAATCCACAGCAGATCACTGGCAATGCTGCGGTACATTTTTGACGTTATACACAAATTCAGAAACATTCATTTGCATATTTTGTTGTGTGCAAATTATTACCTGCTTTTTAAAGTGTCAGATAAGGAAAACATATATGAAAAATCTCTCAGACCAACGAAGTCGTGCTTCTCTTTTATAATACCCAAAACAGAGCGTCTTCAAACGTTGCAAAATGGCAAGAACGCGCGTCCTCGTTGAGTTAAGAAAGTGTGAAGTACAATGGCTGCCCTGGCATCCGCGCGATATGAGGTCCAGTAATAATCAACTTAAACCATTCTTCATCAACTGTTTTGGAGAAGGTGGCTGCACTGATTGCATGCAGAAGGACCAGGTTTTTAATCTGAAAGAGATTGGGTTTCTTTATCTGCCATTTTCTAAAGAATACTTCCTCACAGCCTCGTGTTCTCGAGGAGTAAGTACACTAGCCATCATTGCATTATTGCAATGACATTAAGTGTGTCTACTAGAGAAACAAACTAAACATCAAGAACCTTTTTTTGCAGAAGTATTCAGCAACAGCAAGAGCAACCACAACACTCAACAAGGGTATTCAACAGTACAACAACAACAACAACAACAACACATCATTAAAACAACAATAACAGCAACAACAATAATAGCAACAGCAACAACAGAAGCAGAAACAACAACAACATCACCGCCACCACCACCACCACCAACAACAACAACGACAACAAAAACAACAAAAATAACAGCAGCAATATACAACAAGAAAACTTGATATCCCATGCTTCCTAACGAGTCTAAAACAAGACGTGTTTTAAAATGAATAGCTTTCAGTATTACTCACTTGCAAACAACACCTCCAGCCCCAATTCCAAAGTAGGTTGAAAAGCTGGTTAGGCGAGCTTCCGCCAGGGAAATCATGCACCTTGGCACGGGCTCCACATCAGGACAGAATCCGGTGAGGAACTTCTCACGCAAGGTATCCAAGACGCCGAAGAGAGCACTCAGGTCCGTGCCTCCACAGTCGCTCGAGAGAGAAGCTAAGATTGTGTCGGGGTTCCTGGGTTTGTGTGGGGATTTTTTTTATGGGTGTGTGTTTGTGGTGGTGAGTTGGGTGGGGGGGGGGGGGGGTCGGGGGGTTGTTTGTTTGGGGGATGGTTGTTTTGTTGTTTTGGTGATTTTTTTGTAGGTGGGTGTGGGGGAGGGGGACAGAGAAGTGCATCATCAAAACTCACTGATATTCCAGTCAGTACGTTATCAAGTTTGATGTTCTTGGGTGTTATAATAATTACTGTTCAAATCAAAGAGAAACCGATTGACACCATACCTGTCATTTGGTGCTGACTACTCTGAGAAAAGTGAAACAGACTGTCGCAATATCGGATTTAAAAAAACAAACATGAGACTTACCGATACCGTAACAAAACCAGAGCAGTTTGAACCCTCTACCCCTCCCCCCCCCCATTAATTAATTAATTAATTAATTAATTAACTAATTAATA